TTAGTTGGCTAACCTCCCTCCGTGCTACTTTGATCTTGCCCTCTAGCCTCCTTCTCCATGGAGGGTACTGCCCCTTGTGGCTGTTCAACTTGTAGCCAAGCATCTCACTGATCATGAAATAGCTGGGCGAGCTACAGTGCCTTGCTAAACAAAACAGAAAATGCCGGCTATTTTTTGTGGGGGGGTTTTTCAAATAAACCAACATGTTATTTTTGTCTCTGGTTTCCTATAACCCTGTGGCAAATACCATCACAGTTCTAAAGAAAGCCACATCCCACACAGTCAGGTGTTGAAGAACAATAATCTTAAATATGAGTGCACGTACACACGCACACACACGCACACACACACACACACACACACACACACACACACACACACACACACACACACACACAAACAGACCCATTCTTATCCCTGTACACTTTTCAGCACAGTACCTTTGTGACTCTCAATGACCAGTGCACTAGTTTGTGAATTAACTCAATATCACATTATTAAACACATATACCTGACAACATAATGTAGTGGTTTTCGCATTTCTCTGATCTTGAGAGATACAGATTGCTTTGGTTTGCATCAGGAAAAGCTGCTAGTATAAAAACTCTGCCAAATCTAACATAACTGACTCCACTCAAAAAATAATAATTTTCTTCACGCTCAATAAACATGAAGCAATAACTTTGACTAAAATACAACTGAAATGCATAAAATCAAGGTTCATTGTTCAAATAACTATTCATTAGGGGAAATATGCTTATAAACATAATATGAATGTGTACCAATAAAGCAAATTTCATTAGACAAATTTCCATTAAATTACATACTTTATATTGTACTTATTTAAGTCAATCAGTTAATACCATTTTGGACATGAAGATTTTTTGAGTGTGTGGTGACACCTTGTCAAAAGGGAGCAGCCAAAATAGCTTTTATATAAAAACTCTTTGGATAATGTTACCTTTAAGAAAAAAATATTATGAATATCCACTCTGCATTCAATACAGAGATTTACAGAAATAAATCAAAAGCCGATATTTTGGTCTGTTTTCTTTGTTTTCCCAATAACCCTCTGCCTTGGTCATATGATCAATATTGAATCAAAATGTTTCATTATCATGAGATATTTCACAGGTACTCTTACCTTGAGCCCACTTTCGGTATGTGTATATACATAACATGAATACAACAGTATACAGGAAAAACAGCAGGACTGTGCACACCAGCTTGGGCAGAGACATCAGAGGTGGAGGGACAGAGCCACTCACAGGCTGAACTCTGGCTGTGAGGAAGAAAATAACTAGTAAACATGAAACATATTTTTTTATATCTGACTATATAACACATAATGGCTGTTAGTTGGATGTTTAAATAAGACAGTAGGAAAAGAAGCATAAACACAGGTCAGAAGTAGGCCATGTGTCATTGAGCTATTCATTTTTTAACCAAAGAAAACAAGATGGTTTCTGATGATTTTTTGAATAATGAAATTAGCTTTTTATAATACTTTTGGGTCTAAGATGTGACAAAATTTATGTCACTCATGACCCTGCAGACTCTAAACAGAATGAAGACTGTAGATTAACAGTTCAATTTTTCAGAATGACAAGTGTTTTAACATATTAAAGCTAAACATATTTCACATATATTTGTGCTGAACATCACTGTCACCTCTCACAGCCAGAAAACTCTTTGGTGACTCTCCTTTTGTGGGGTGTTGACACTTGTAGAAGCCTTCGTCATACTTGGACACATTGAGAATCATCTTTCCTTTTGGTTCTTCTCCGAAATATATATTGTTCTTGTAGAATATAGCATTGAAATCGGATGTAGAAGTTTTATCATTTCTTTCCTTGTAAGAACAGCGAAGTGTCACATTGTCTCCCTCGGAAACAGGAATTGCGGGGCTCTCTAAGATCACAGCTCCAGCTGAAATATACAAAGGTTAAACTTATTTCATTCATTAAATTTGAGAATAACTTCAGTACTCTTTAAAACATGTCTGATTACTCTTTTGACCTCTAAAGAGCTGTGGGCAGACATTTGGCACTTCATACATGGTGACTCCAGGTGCTTCTTTTGCTTGATCTCAACTGCAAGTGAAAGAAGCAGTTTTTTTCTTTTACTGCCACTGCTTCATGTCTGTGGGCTTTGGCCGCAGCAGAGGTTGTTATGAATCATGCTATTTGTTTGTACTTTGTTATTGCTGTCTGTTGTCAACTCATCCATCCAATTCATCCGGGGAAACAACAAGAGGTTCTCAGGCCAGCCAAAAGATATAATCTCTCCAAATCTTTGAGTTTACTGAAATTGGATTTCAATACACTTTTTTTTCTGCATTTGAAGATGTGTCACCAAAAGACACCTACTTGACACAACACAGCCTATGGATATTGAGGGCTATTATAAATAATTTTTTCTATAAATGTTAACATTTTGGTTAAAACACAGGAGACACTGGAGCGTGTAGGGATAAGTGACTGAATATTCATTAACTTCAAGTTAAATTAATAAAACAAAATCTTACAAATGGTTTATGCACAAGTCCTTTTAAATGATGTAACTTGACGTTCAGAAATGTTCCCAATATTGTTTCCTTTCACAGTTTTGAGAAAATGTTAGGTTGATTTTGATAGTAGTTGTAGTTGTAGTTTTGAGTGTGGGGAACTGTTATCATTTCCAGTAAGGTCTAACTGTGTGATGTCATCAGCGTAATATAAGGATGGGGAGCGGTCCGCTCAGGGAAGATTGTTGTTCCAAGTTTCTTCCCACACTCTGCGCAAGTGTGTAAAATAAAGATCAATATTTTTGACACCTACTCGGACTCAGCCTGCTTTCTTCTCTTACCCAAATCGAACGAACCACAACACTAGGAAATGTGGTTGGACAGTTTTAAGCATATATTGTGTGGCAGGAAGTCACGTATACAGACACACACACACACACACACACACACACACACACACACACACACTCAGTGCCTTAGCTTTTATGGCACACTATATGGGTTTTACATTGTGTAACCAGTTTAAACCAGTTTGACTGTGTTTGTTTTCTGCATTTTGAAGATGTGTTACCAAAAAGAGCCAATAAAAGAGCCTGTAAGGGAAGTCAGTTTGAAGTCGGCTGAACATCTTGCCGGACTTCCCTTGCCAGCAAGTGAGAACCGTACAGTGTCTTTCTTTTGTTCACAATGATGAACCTCTGTGCCAGCGAGGTCTGAAATTAGACTTAACAATGAATCGGAGAGTGAGAGAGTACACTCATGTCTTTATACTTGTCAAAGACTAAGATTTGTCATAATTTTGGCCACCAGCTGCATACAGCATGTGTTTAAAAAAAAAATGAATGGCTTAAAAAGAGTAAAAAGAAGAAGTCCAGTATGTATCTCTAAAATAAAGTCCAGTATGAGATAAAGCACAAGCATATTTGATAGCATACCAGCCACTGTGATGTTGACAGTGTTGCTGCGCTTCCCCTGCTCAGACTCACACCAGTATAATCCACTGTCTGATGGGTAAACATCTGAAAGGATGCAGGACTCATCAGGGTCTCCAAATCCACCCTTGCATGGCTGCAGCGTCTCAGAAGAAGTGTTTCGCCTCACTGTCCAGTTGCTGGAATTCCCTGAAGCTACACAGCTTAGATGGATGTTCTCATATCGAAAGAACTGACATTTGTTTGGATAGATGTTCAGTGTGGCTGCTGTGGTTTAAAACAGGAAAATAAAACAAATGACTTTTTTTAAAAGTAATTTTGTATTTAATTAGAATGACAAACAGTGTACGTCCAGATGCATGCTTAATCATCCAGATAAGTAAATCTCCAAAAGTTGATTCTGTTCATCTGGACATAGCGTTTTGTGGGAGAAACATTTTTCCACTCATCCAAGTGACTTCTTCAGTTTCAGCTGACTGAAACCAGCCCACTGAAGGAACAATGGGCTGGTTTCAGTCAGCTGAAACCAGCCCATTTTTTTGCATATTTAATCTTAAATATGCAAAATCTCATGACCATTGATCAACAACCACTGATCAATGGCCATTTTCAGTGGGAGAAACATTTCATCACTCATCCAAATCTCAGCTGATTGCAGGTTTCCCCAATCTTACAAACAGGCAACTGGCTGGGAGGTCAGTTCCTTCATTATAGTTATGCAAATTATCATGACCATTGATCAACAACCACTGATCAAAGACCACAGATGAAAGACCACTGATCAATGGCCATGAGTACCATTCACAGAGAGTTGGGGAATGGCTGCAATCACAGCATTGTAAGATGGTGAAAGATGTACTCTTAGGCCCCCTCCTCGATTCAGAGATGGTCTTTCCCTTTTCACGTAAATGGCCTCCTTGACTCTGCACTCAAACCAGCGTTCCTGTCTGTCCAGGATGTGTACATCCTCATCCTTAAGAGTGTCCACTGGCTTGTAGGTGTAAATAGACTGCAGAGTCCTGGCCTGACGAGGTAGCTCCTCTGTGTTGTGCCATCCGCTTCACCAGAGGTTGTTTGGTTTCTCCGATGTATAAATCCTGGCAATCCTCCTGGCACTTAACAGCGTACACTATGTTTCTCTGTTTGTGTCGGGGGACCCGATCCTTGGGGACCAGTTTTTTGCGTGTTTTGGGGTTTAAAAGCCACAGAGACCCGGTGTTTAGAAACAATGTGTCTCAACTGCTCCGATACTCCTGACATATATATGATCACTACAGGTTTTCGCTTGGGCAGCGGTTGTCCTTCTCTCCTGGATCGGCTGGAGCTTTCTTTTGGCGCCTTCCCAGCTTTGACAAAAGTCCAGCTGGGATAACCACATTTACTCAGGGCCTTCTTGATGTGATGTTCTTCTGCCTCCCCGGCCGCTGTGTCTCTGGGGATGGTAATTGCTCTGTGTTGTAGTGTCCTGATGACACCCAGTTTGTGCTCCAGTGGATGATGAGAGTCAAACCTTAAATACTGATCTGTATATGTAGGTTTACAGTACACATCAGCTTTTAGATGTTCTCCATTACTGATGGAAATCTCACAGTCTAAGAAGGCTAACCTACCACTTTTCATATACTCCCTAGTGAATTTGATGTGTTTGTCCACCGAGTTAATGTGGACTAAGGTTGGGGAAACCTGCAGTCAGCTGAGACTGAAAAAGTCACTTGGATGAGTGACAAAACGTTTCTCCCACAAAATGCTACGTCCAGAGGAACAGAATCAACTTTTGGAGACAAACAGTGAACGTAACCCTTGTGTTGTCCTCGGGCCAAAGATCCGTAGGTGAATGGCAAACAAATATATGGGAATCCCAAAGACAACACAAGGGATTTTAATATACAAAGGAATAGGAACTGGTCAGATCTACTGCTGTTTCCATACTGATTTTTCAAAGAAAGGCAAAACAACAGGAGAGAGCTCAGTGAAAAGCTAGGAAAAACATATGACTTCTTTGTATGTTTTCAATATATGTTACTATAGCTTGAGTCAATTAGTGTTATTAGTTAGCTTTAGTGATCCTAACTGGCTGTAAAATCCATTCTACACTCCTTCTGTAGTAGCTAATAGAAGAAAGATTAGAAAATGTCCTGGGTCGGTGACCCAGTGTTTTGAGTTCCTTGTGTCTCTGAATTTTTGTATTATGATCTTAGTTCTCTTTGTTGCCCCAGTTTATTCTTAGTCTAGTGTCTTAGTTCGGCTTTCTTGTATTCTCTTTATTCTCTTTAGTTTTCTGAGTATTTAGTAGCCGCCCCCTGTCTCTCCTTGTTATTGTTCTCTGTGTTTCTTAGTTGCTTTGTCTCCCCTAGTCAAGTCTATGTTACATTTCCTGTTTTACTTTGAAGGTCTGTGTCCTACGTGAATGTATTGAGTTTCACTTCCCTTGTTATGTCCGATTTCTCCCAGCTGTGCTCCCCTTCTGTGTCTCATTCCCCTCGTTATTTCCAAGTGTTTCTCTGTGTCACACTGTCACAATCTCCCT